TAATCATTTAGGAGCTGTTTTGGCACATGTGAGCATTACAAAGAGTTCCAGCAACAAACACCTTTTCAGAATCATTTCATTATGGTTTTATTTAGATCCAGATTTTTCTTTTTCAGTGCACTCTTAGTTTTCTCATGGCTATATTTTTTTAATTGTCAGAGCAATAGATTTTGTGGGTAAGAAATGACTCGTAGCAACCTCCTATTTGTAGAGTTGTTTTCATCCCCCAGGAAGTTTGAGACTGGAACCATAGGCTCTTGCAGCCTATTGAAATGCTTTCATCATCATTCTCTTGGCTGTTCTTGGATGTATTCATGTTTATCTTTAAAGTTTTGCCCAGAAACCTCATTTGGGGTTTGAAAAAATTTCAATTGAAATCAATGCATTAAAAATAAACTTACAGCCAAGTTTCTCTTTCTGACTGTTTCTTTGGAAAAAATCCAGCTGGCTTTAGTTACGAGTTGCCTAGAAGATGGTTAAATATTTTCCTGCAAGACACTACATTAATTGGAAAGACTTAACTGAGCAAAGTTGGATACAAATATTTTTTTTTTTGCAGTGTGCACTATATGCAGTTGTGGTTTTGTGCTGCACATCGATGCAGGACAAAGCATATGCATTGCTAAATGTTGTAAGGAGAATAATTAATGAGCTTTTGATGTTTTAAAGAAAAATAATGTTTCTTCTGTGTCTTTTTAGATACGAAAGATGGGACTGGAAACAAGCAGCATAAAAAGCTTTTCAGCCCTGACAGAGCTGGTTCTAAATGCGAAGGATCAGGCTACAGCAGAGCAATCCTAGATATTTTTGAAAGCATGATTGAAGTGATTGAAGATAAACGATGTCCCTAAAAGAGAGAGAATTTAACTCTTCTTTATTTTACCAAATGCGTAGCAATGAAGTGCTTCCTAATGTATCTCGAGCAAGAAATCAGTGGGTTTTCTGTCAAGATAGGCTTGTCTCACCAAAAGACTGAGAATTTACTGTAGTTTTCCATTATATGGAAAGCAATCAGAACTTCTAAAATTTCTACTATAGAATAAAAGTGGAAGAAAATGTTTTTTTTTATTTTTGTTGTACATTTTAAAATGTAGAAGAATGAACTTATATAATGAAAATAATATGTAATAAATTGTCTTCCTAACTTCTGATGTCCCGTATGTTTTTGAATCAAATTTATTCATTGGTGGCTGTCAAAAACTTTCCAAAGGGACTTTATTCCAGCTCTTTTGGAATAAAGAAAGTGCTCACAGGAATACAAATCTGTGATTTCTTGTTACTGCTTTGCACTTCCCTACTTTCCCTCATCGTGGATTTAGTTTGTGTTTGGGTTTTGCATGGTTTCATTTTATTGATTTGTTGTTTTTTTTCATGGACCTAGTTGGTGAGAAGTGCTGCATAAAAAAAGCTCTTGAAGTACTTTAAATTTTAAAAATAGTATCTAACTTAGTGGCTATTACATTCAGGCTACCTGTTTACCTTCAAACTAAAACTTAATTCACTAAGCTAAAATTTATTCAAAGTTGGCATATTTCTTATTTGTATTATATTGTTTATTAGAATTCTGGGGAATATTGTGCCTGATTACGTGTAGAATTGTTGTAATTTCAAACTTAATTACTTCAGTACAAGGTGAATCTTTATATAGCAGGAAATTTGAAAGTGTTACTAGGATTTTAAATGGTAGAAGGATTAACAAAGAGCGCTCTTGAAGCGAGAGTGATTTGCCTATTGACACTTCTATGTGTGAGGAACAGGTAACAGTCTGGGGACAGCAGGTGGTGAATTTGAGGCTTTTAAATGAGAGAGTGCCCTGTGTGAGTGAAGGAAGGTTTCGTTTGTGGGTTTTTTTGGTTGTTGGTGTGTTGTTTTTTTTTTACCCTGTGAAAACTTAACACTGGAATTCTAGGTCATGTTTATTAATTAAAAATATCTATTACTTCTTAAAGTGGGTCTTAATGGGGGAGCCAAAGAGGATGCAGATCTCCCAAGTACTCAGAGACAGGGAGTTCATAGCACATGGCTGTTTTGTAGCATTGAAGTTGTAGTGAGCAAACCTTTCACAGCATTAAGGTTTTTATTCCTCTCTATTGGAGAATTGACCATACATCAGTTGAGAAGACACAACTGTGTGATCACTGGGCTTTTGAAGCAATTAGCATAGGTGATTATTGTGACTCTTCTAAAATTAATTTTATGAAGGGGGCAGAGGGGAAAGTACTATGGCTTAAAACTATGTTTCTGTTTCTCAGATTCAATCTGAGTATCGAAGAGCAGTACTTGGCTCTCCTAATTTGCTTAACATCTCTCTGTTCATGGCAACATGCACGAATGAGAGTGCATCCAAACTTATTGCTGAAGAAAAACGGCGAAGTGAACGAGCTTGCTGGATGTCAGATGTGACAGGGAGATCCTCAGCCAGCGAAGGGTTTAGGGAGACACTGCTGAATGAACGTAGCTCTTGCTGCTTGTGAACAAGAAGTCTGTTGTCTGTGTTACATTTTTCCAGGCTTCTAGTTGAACCTGGAAAGCGTGGTCTCCCTGCACCTCTTCATTTGCTGTAAGAGTCAGGGGTACAGATGTCTTGCTGCCGTTAGCTCCTGTTCTTTTCAACATTGTTTTCTTATTATAGAATGAATGTGTAAATTGTAATCCGAGACTGGGATTGTGGTATTGTAAATGCATTGCACAACTTCTTATTTTGGAAGGTGTGTACCTCTATAAATTTAAATTTCTATAATAGCTGTTACAAAAGCAGCAGATTCTGCAATCACAAAATCACAGAATCTTCTTGGTTGGAAGGGACCTTAAAGATCATCTTGTCCAACCATCAGCATAGCTGACAAAAATAAACACCCACACAACAAACAAGAAGCATCACCATCACTAAACCATCCCTCCCAGCACTACATCAACCTGTCTTTTGAACACCTCCAGGGATGGTGCCTCAACCACCTCCCTGGGCAGCCCATTCCAATGTCTGATAACCCTTTCAGTGAAAAAATTGTTCCTAATATTCAGAAAATCTGTGCATACTGGTGGTTGAGACTGGAACAGCTTTGTTTGTGTCCTCCAAAACCAGGGAGAAGGATGCAATCTGTGTACCAAACCAAAAAGGCACGGAGAGGTTACTTGTCCTTTTGTCACACGTGATTTCCCACACCTTCCTGCAATAACACCACTTCCTGCTTGTTGTCACCATCAGCTTGCTGACTACATGGGCTGAATTCTCTTCTTTTCCATTGAAGACCAGCTTTAATTCCAGGGCAGGAAATAACATTGTATAGCGAATCAAAATTACTGAATGGTCCTATGATTGCTGTAAATGTGCATCACTGGTTTTATGTCAGTTCCCCAAGCTTTTATTTTTCTTCACTTGAATAGCATTTAATTTTATCTCAGTGGAATACAACCGCAGTTAAAAATTTCTGTGATACCCCAGTTGAAAAAAACAAGAGGTGTGAATTGGCTTGGCCTTTAAAATGAATTTTAGCATTTCACCAAATACGTTGAATCAATCAGGAGGAGAGGATCTACCATGTAAGTATGTGTGTTCTCATAGACATGTCTTCTGCTACTAATCCTCTTTCTTCTATTCCTCAGATTTTTTGATATTTTTTTTTTTAAGTGCATTTCACTTCATGACAGTAATTCAGATTGTGTGCCACATTCTTCTTCCCTTCTAGGATTTGTAGAAAACTTGCTGTGCTTTTCTAAGTCTGGAAGGAATTTAGCTGGAAGAGGTTTTGGGGAGAGAAAGAGTGGTGGCATGTTTTCCTCTAAAATGGTTATTAAATTCTCAAGTTTGTGGGTTATACTAGAAGTGGCCCAGATTGTTTTGGCCTCATCCCCTAAAGATAACCGGCAATATGTGTATGTGGCTGGACCACTTAATATTGAGGAATATTTACTCTTCTTTTTCCATCAGCAGTTTATTTTCATGCTGAACTGGCGGGATGAAGAATCAAACTGCCTAGACTTATTTTTTTAAGCTTGTCAGCATAATTGTCAGCTATGCTTGGGGATAAATTGTGTTGTTTTGATGAAGCTTGAAAAAGCCTGTCCTTGTCTTTGTTGTCTTTCTCCAAATCTCCCGTCTGCTAGAGCATGATTTTAGGTGCTTCGTTGGTGCTGTAGCCTGCAGCTGGGAGCTCAGGGTGTGAATGATGCTAAGGATGCTTGGAATGTGCATCACTGTGTGGTGGAATTTGGTGGAACTGGAGGAGAGGGAAGAGTATAAAATACCATTAAAATTTTAGATGTAAAATTGATGTCCGAAACAAGTCTCAGGAGAGACTATATATTGTTGGGGAAGAGGAGAGATTAAGTTGGGGAAGTTTGGGGTGGGTTTTTCTGTTTTGTTTTTTTACCATTTGAGCATGTAGGAGAATGGGTATGTGTACAGGTACCTTATCTCTCTGGTACTGTAGCAGGTGCTCCAGCACCTCTCTCTTCCAGTTCCTTGCTCTGGCCAGGATACTTTTAGTTCCCTGTCCTGGCCCTTTCTTCCTTACTTTTCTTCTCCAGGGTGTCAGTGAAGGGGTGCTCTTCACCACAAAGTTTCTTTTCTGAAAAGTGTTGGTTTTGTGGGTGGTTTTGTTTGTTTGTTTTTCTGCCTGTAATCATGGAACAGGGTAAGGAGTCCTCCAACAGCAGACAGCCCCCACCTGAGAATAATGGCATTTTGTCCCAGAACTCACTGGCAGCGTGGTCAGGGGGTCCCTTTCGTTATCCTCCATCTTCATCATAGAAATGGAACATTTTGTGCTCTGAAATCTTATTTGTGGCTGGTGCTACCTTCTGGCTTTAATAAGTAAATGAGATAACTTTCAAATTAGTGTGGACGCTTGGAAGCTGCTTCTTTCATGCTTACAGCTGCATCATTGGCTGTATTGCATGATCATTTCCAACTTACTGTCTTAAAAAACGTAAATTTGTTTAGGAACCAATTTCAGAAGCCAGAACAAGGGACATAGTTATGGACATAAACCCAACTAAACTGTGGCAAAGCAATTTAGAAATGGTTTTATTTGCATCTTTCCGCCTCTGCATACTTACAGTTAATTGCTTCTGTATATAATAAACATACAGTATTTAGATTTTAGAGCATCTGGAATACATAGAGTATAATCAGTTAAATACATGGATGCTGTATCATAGCACTTGAAACCCTAGTATTCTCGAGAGTGAGTTGGAAGGATCCATCATGTATCTACACGAACGATAGCAAGCTTCTGCCATTAGTGGGTTTGGATTAGACAGACATTTGGGCCACTGTGGATGGCAATGAGCTACCATGCTCTGTAGGATACATCTTGAATCATGTACCAAAGACTTTTGCAGTTATTTTCTAAACGCCATCAGTGCTAAAGCCAAATCTAGACATGAGAGGTGGAATATCCTTGTTCCACTGAGAGGCTTTCCTTAGTATGAAGAGTTCACTCCCAATTCCTCATGTCCTAATTCAAGAGCTGTCTAATAATCTGTTGTTCCAGTTTCACGTTTCGAACCTTTATGACTCTGTTAGGAGTTGGATTGGACCACTGAAACCTTTTTATTCATGTGTAGCAGCATATCCACCATTTATACTAATATAGATTATTGCCATTAATACTATTTTTTAAGTTGGATATGTTAAAGTTTACAGATCTGGGCTCTAACCAGTAATGTTCTTTTTCTATAAATCTGTAATAAATGCCTCTCTGGTTAGAAAGTAATCCAAGGAATGGAATTGTATTGGAATAGTAGGCCTTTTTTTCTTTTCCTAAAAGAAGTCAGAGATACTTCTGTCAGGCTATGGGAATTTATCCATCACAGTTCATTAATGGTACCAAACCCTATTTTTAGCTTTTCCATAGAGTTAAGAAATGAATGTATCCATCTGGCTGCAGAAAGAAGAAACTTCCTCTAAATGTGTTTTTGCTTCCAAGGCAAAAAATCTTGTCTCAGTGGGACAAGCAAAGCCTGCCCATGCTGCTGGCAGTATTTCAAAGGGAAATATTGCTGATGAAGCTAGAAATCTCTGTGGATAACTGTAAAACTTTCACTGTAACATAAAAGGGGGTCTCTCTTGCAAAGCTGACCAAACTAAAAACGAAAAAAGTGACCTCAAGGAATGAAGAGGTCTTTTCCTGTAGTTTTGCCGTAGTAAATGCTGCTTGTGCTTATAAAACTATTTAAGTCAATGCCCTTCTGGCTACTACTTTGTCCTCCCTGCATCAAAAATGGGATCTGCGGCCAGAAAGGGGGAGACAAGAAAGTGGGAGTAAGGAGAGAAGAGATGCTGGAGGAAGAGTTTGAGTCGCCTCGTGAAATAGGTGAACAAGGATGAAATATTGCAGTGTTTTAGCTTTGAAAAAGCTGTATCTCAGACACTACCTGCTTCATCTCAAAGTTAAGTAGAGCACTCAACAAGATCATAAAACCAGCTGATGAGTAAGAAAAAGGTGATGGGAAATGTGTGTCATTCCTCTCCCTCCCCATCCCTGGTGCCTGCATTTAAGCCCCGTGCAGTGGGTTTGTTACTCTGCCAAGGAAAAGCATTGCCATTGACTTCTCTTCAAAAACAGCGAAAAGGAATGGCTTGTTCAGTGTTACTTCCAGGAACACCACATCTTCCTTCTGGGCCGTGGGGTCTTCTGGCTGATCTGTTCCATCACTGGTCAATTTGAAAAAGGCTGTATTTATTACCTGTAAGGCAAAACACGTGAATAAATCCAGAGTCATCACAACATGACAGTTGAATGAGAGCTTAAGTGCACACAAAGTAATTGTAACTCAGATCAGCCGTAAGCAGCACAGGATAGACTCCAGGGATGTTTAAAAGGACCTCGGAGTACTTGTTCTGTAATGTGAAAAAGCTCTACAACTGCTTGGACCCTTGGGCTGTATGAAATCCCAGTACCCTTGCAGCCCCTGAGACACCTTCTAAGGTAGAACATCTTCTAAAAATAAAATTCATAAAAGAAAAGGCATTTGAATTATACTTCTGGAACACAGTTTGCCTTCTTTTTATGAAAGAGAGCCCTCTCCTTCAAGTTTTCTGTTCTTCACCTTGGGACTTGAACGCTGGAAGGCTCCAGGTAAGGTGTCTTCAGGTAAGGTTGTGTGCTGCACGCACCTCTGCTTTTGCTAGTCGTGGGAGTAGTCCCAAAGTGCTGGAGCCTCTTCACCTTGCTCCAGCTGCTGTGCTTGGAGGTGTTTGAGCTGGAGGTGGTAACAAATGCTGGCTAATTTGTACTGGGAGTACCAAGCACACCCAGACCTTACACTTCACTGCTGTTGCACATTATGTTTGCTGCAGTGACAAAATTTGAATAGTTTAAAGCAAACTGATGGGTTAATCTGAAAAGCATTCACTGTCGTTCAGTCATCTGGAAAGTCTCCTACTAGTGGGTGTCCCACATAGTTCTGACTGGTTTGTTCTAGATAAATTTATACAATTAAAGAGGCTGAAACTGAGCAGGAGGCATTTTGTGGTAAAATGTGGGTGATGTGTACTGTACCTTTCCAACTGTTAGATTTGTGTCGCTTATTTTGCTGAGATCTGCCCCCTTCCCCAGCAGTGCAGGCAGTTCCATATCTGCAAGAAGCTTCTGTAGGTCAGAGCTGCCTTCTATTGTCAACTCCGGCAGCGTTAATTTAATTTCTCTGCAGAAAAGAGAGAGAGAGAGAGAGGTGAGTCAGTGCGTGCTCTCCCCCGTGACAAAGCATGGTGTTTGGGCAGACCTGGGGAACGGGCACGTGAAAACAGCCACAAGCAGCGCTTGGTGTGTGGGGACAGACAGCTGCCCAGGGCCAGTGGGCATCATGTTGCTGTTTCCAAGTGGGAAGACACCCTAAATCTGCCCCGGGTACTCTATTAGACCCCAGATCATCCCAGCTCATGGGTCCTGTATTGCCAGCTATGGAAAGGCACTTTGCTCATTTCCTTGGACCACCCCCAGATACAAAGCCCATCCTGCTGAAGTCGGGCTCCCTCAGAGCGAGGTGCCCTGGGTTTGCAGGTGTTTCTCTTTGTGCTCAATGTTAAACCCCCCTGGCAAGGTGTGACCCTGGCCAGTGAGCAGGCAGGCCTGTGAGGTGCACCCCATCTCATCCGTCCCTACCTCGGGGACAGCTGCTGAAGCCAGGCTGAGGACTGCAATGGCAGCGTGGACTCCACGTGCTCCAGGTCGCTGCCGTTGATGGGCTGCAGCAGCACCAGCAGCGCCGTCTTGCTGATGGGGACCTCCACCACGGAGAAAGTCCCACTGGCATCTGTTTTGTACTTGAATGTCCCCGTGACTGACAACATAGGGACCAAGACCTTCGTGTCTGAATCCACCTGGAATTCCTGGGGCTCTTTGAGACGGGAGGCTTGCTTAAGATTCACTGAAAAACAGATTGAGAAAGCAAAGAATCAATTTCTTCTTTCTTTGCTCCTCCCCTCTGCCCCTCAGCCAGTACGTATGGGCACCACACTGTACATTAGACAAGGGCTGTGTGTATAAAATCATGTTTAGCTGTTGTAAATATATGTATCCTGTCTTTAATATGCCTTCTGGTCGCGTCAGGCAGAGGCTGGTGCAGGCTCACAGCACAGGGACTGCAACCACCAGGGTTGCAGCCAAAGCTGCTGTAGTTCTACTGGCTTTGTGGCCTTTCCTGGGCATGGTGTTTCTGCTTGCTTGGTTGCCTGCTTCCTCACAGGCTGCCACGTGGCCCCCGGTTGGCTCGTAGGCCTGCGTGGAGGGTCGGCTTGGATTTCCTCTCCATCCCCTGAGCAGCTGTGATGGCACATCTGGGAACACATCCATCAGGGCCAGCCCTTGCTGGCCTCCTTGAGTGTGCTCAGGAGAGGGAAGGCAGCACGAGCCAGGGCCGAGTGCTCACCCTTGGCCATCTTAGGAACCAAAGAAATAGGGAAGGTAGTGAGCATGACACCAAAGTGATGATAGAGCCAAGGAGGTTAAAAAGGACGTACCTGACCGCTTGCTAAACCTTAATAGTTCTTACCCAGTTCACAAGTTTGGGAAGCCTTGCTCTCACCTCCCGCTGCTTCTGCGCAGCTTTGCATTTCAACATGTTATCTGCTCACTGCCCCAGAGATCAGTGCTGCTGCCCCCTTAGGCAGGTAATCCTGTTGGCATTAAAGAAACTACTGCCATCAGCCAGAAGGACAAAGACCAGAAATCTCTAAATTGCTGTTTGGTGGAATTAGGAAAACCGATGTATATGCTGTGGTAAAGAACGGACCTCCTCGCATTAAAGTAATTAATATTGGTACAAATAGGAACTTAACTAGCTGTTCTGTTAACTAGTCTGTTCTCCAATAAATCCAGATAAATGCTGGACCCTAACCTACTAAATATGTGGTAAGTGCTTTTGCATAGGAACACCTGCTTCCTAATTGACCTTGCATAAAAAGAGCATTTAGGCACTTTCACCTACTGTAACTTCACCAAAAAGAAGCAGCAGGTAAAAGATATGAAAGGTGTAAGCAAGACAAAGAATAAGGAAGTAGAGTTGTTCATCTTTTTTTCTTATTTTGCAAGAACAAGGGATGCAAGCAGAAAGGAGCTGCTTTCATAGGATCTGTAAAGCCTGCAGAATTTATTCTCACAGGACAGCATAAGTCAAAACTGTAACAGTTAAATAAAAGGGAAAAAAAAGAATTGAGTGTTCAGATAGCTAGCTGTGTCAAGGTGGGATAGTAACTCATTTCAAATAGTCTTGGGAAAGATACTGCAAAATTTGAAAGGTCTGCTATTGACTTTGGGACTGAGTCCATTAATATTGTGCCAGTCATGAGCCATGACTGGGTTTGAAACTGGTCCCTGTGACCTTCTGCTAGGTGAGGGTCTGGACATTTGTGCCATCAAACGTGTAACTAGGTGTCCATTCTCCTGAAAGCGCTCTAGAAAATGTGAGTAGTCTTAACATGGCTATTTGTTTCTTGCACCATTTTTTTTGGACACAGGAGAGATGTATTTACAACGTATTGAAGAAACCCTGCTTTTTTGCCTTGGACACCTGGAATGTAAAATGAGGAAAACTGAAGAAGATGAACATCCTGTCTATAGAAGATGATAGCTGACACATTGAAAGAAATATTTTCTTAAAGTGAGATCTCTCAGAACAGGACACAGAAGCTGTGGGATTGGACAACCTTTCGGCAAGCACATCAGGGCAGGGAAGAAACCTGTGTCTACAATAGAGGGAAGATAAATGAAGTGAAGAAGTCTGTCAATCAGAGAGGCGATGTAGCCTGGGAGAGTAAAAGAGTAATCTGCAGCGCTGCCTTGGGAGTACAGGAAAGAAACGTTGGACCTCGCTGCTTCAGGTGATGATCTCCGTGTTCTGTAGTACAGGCTTTATGGCAGCCTGACAGGCTTAATGAGAGGATGACTTTCTGTGGAACGCTGTGACTTTTTACTTTAAAAAACAGAACAAAACAAAAACCAGCCGAAGGGTCCTACCAAATTTCTTGTTAAAATTGAAGTTGTTGAGGGTTGTCTGTACAAAAATGAATTTAAATAGGAGAAGGTAAAGGTGCTTAGATTGTCAAGTCCCATGGTGCTATTTTCATTCACCAGTTCAAATTTATTTTGTAACTCCAAAAAAAAAAAAGAAGAAAATTGGCTGTCAGTAAAATTTACATCTGACATTCTGCACTGGATTCTAAATGGCAGTCCCTGCTTGGCACCAAGTCTACAAATGTGGAAACACCTGTGTGCAAGTGAACAACAGCTGAAACCATGGGAACCTTTAGCTGTTGTTTTGTATGGATTTCTGTCATTTTTTCAGTCCTTTGGCTGTTGGTATATACAGTCACATATATATATCACATATATAATGTGTTTCAGACCAAAAAAAGGTACTTTTTCCTTTCTACAGCTATACGGACAGACATGGAACACAATGACAGTATTGGCTGTCACAGCTGCCCCTCTGCAACCAAATAGCAAAGCAAATGCTGAAGTCATCTCCTGTGTTTATTAAAAAAGAGTTGCTTATCTAATTCATTTGTTCTTGAGCCAATTTTCTCCGTCCCATGTGTGGAGACCGCAACATCTCAAGTGCACCCTTCTAAGAGAGAGGAGGTAGCAGAGCTGACGCAGAGACTCAGACCCCTGGCATGTATTCCTAGGGTAATAAAATTACAAGTTTACAAGACAGAAGAAGAAGAAAAAAAATTTCTGCTAAAGGAAAACTTGGCTCTTGTGACCATGCCCAAGTCTGTAACACAAAAATTATTTTTGCAGTATTATGTCTATGCTAGACCTTACACCAAAGAGAAAGCTGATGCTCACAGCTCTCTGAGTAGTTGGGATCTGTCAGTGACAGCATCCATGAAAGGCAAAGAAAACCCGATATCCAGTTTACAGGTGGGAAGATGAAGGCACAAAAGCATTTAATGGACACCAGAGTTCCACCTTTATCAGTAGAGGCTCGCTTAGCAACTTAAGTCTCACTTCAAGTTTTCTGAAATACAGCCACTGGTAGGCAAGCTGGCTTAAAGAGTGTGATCTCTGGTATTGCGTTCTCTGGCAAGGATGTTGAAAAGCAGCTACAGTCAGGAGAGGAGGCTCAGTTGTGGTACAGGGGAATGTATGGGGCAGCAGCATGGAATGACTCTAGATAAATAAGGGCCTGCCTTAATTCTTCTGGTTTTGTATATGCTCCTTGCTTTTTTGGTTGCTTCCTGAGCCAAAAGTTGCCTCCAGACTTCTGTGTTTAATAGCTATTAAAGGAGCCCATTATATTTTTCAGCCTTTCTTGATTCTGTACCTCCTGTCTGTTACCTGCAGCTCCCCTGTGGAAATACTGGTTCTGGGGAAAGGTCTATCTCTGGCTTGATTTAAACCTTCTTCCTGATTACTTTTGCTGGAGGCCCTTCATGACTTTTAATTCCTTTGCAGTCAGAAACACTGTGGAATCCTCTCTTATTCTTCTTCCCACACCTTTCCTAATCCTTAGCTTCCTAGACAAGGGAAATTTCTTGGAGGCCATCTCCCTCCACCTCCTGCCCATTGCCCTTGCTGGCTCATGGCAGAGTGCAGGCAGGTCCTCCTGCACAGGGGTGGGAAGCAGGGCTCTGTACAAGGAGCAGTGGTCCAGCCTTTCATCCGAACCCTTCCCTTTCACTGCTGGCCAGGCCTGACCTTGCCTCCTTGCCGGGAGCAGGACCACTGCCCACCCTCCCCCCAGCCTGCCCCTGAAACCAGCAGTGCCACCTCGTACCTGCCAGGCGGACGTCCACCGCAAACAGCAGGTCGGCCGATGGATCGATGTCCGTCAGGAAGCACTTGCTTCGGCCCTCACTTCTGGCCTCCACAAAGGCACTTATTTGCTTTGCTGCCTCGCCTGGGTTTGTAAAATCCACCGCTCGGGCGTAGAGAGTGTCCGCCGAGGGGAGCAAGTCCTGCACGAACTGCTCGGAGAGAGGGACTCCGGGGGCAGAGAACAGGCACAACGTCTTGGAAAAGAGCAGCTCCTCGTCCCCGCTCTTGACGAGGCTTTCAATCATCCTTAGGCTAGAAAGAACCTTGTGTCCATCCACCCTGGAGGTGCAGTCAGGGTCTCCAGAGGGGGGAACAAATCCCAGCAAACTCTGCAAATCAGTTGCCGTCTGGTTTGAGGCGCCCAGGTAGAAAGACACCAAGGAGCTGTACAGACTGGTTGGGGACAGGAGCACGTTTTGGCCCCGCCGTGCTTCCCGCAGCTCTCTGTAAAACCGCACCCCCAGAACATACACAAAGTCCTTCACAAAGCTCAGTTTCTGCCTCCCTCGGCTGCTCAGGCTCGGGGCTTCCAGCTTGTCTTTGTCCTTCAGGTCATCTTCGTAGGCAGGTGTGGTTTGGGACTCAATGGAAACGGGGACAAAAGTTTTCTTTCCCTCCTGGACCAGGCTTTCCAGCTCCTCACAGGTGCTCTTGTTGAAAGAAAACAAATAGAAAGGGTGGACGTAGACCCGGTCACAAGTCACTGCCGTGAGGAACACCAACAAACAGAGAAGATCTGCTACCCGCTTCATGTTGAAAAACTGCTTCCACGGCGTCTGCTGAAAGAAAAATTGGGGAGGAAAGAAGATTGATCGATCTGTTGTAAGTAGAGTTTCTCTTACTTGCTGGGTGATGTGTGAGTGCTGCACTGGAGTTACAAAGGCAGGAATTTCAGTATGTGGTGCTGGTTGGCCTTACTCTGCCCCATGAAAAGCTCAGGGTGAGATGTCCACCAGCTTCAATGGTGGCAGGTGGGGAAATTCTAAGCACAGATTTGACTCTATTGCCGACTGTAGTACCCTGATTTAGCATGGGAAGTGATATGGTTGTGCGTGCTGACCAGTTAGGCTTGCAAACTAGGGTGTGCTAGTTCTGGCAAAACATTATAATGATGCAAATATATTGCTCCTGGGACTTGGTCAGAGCTCTCTCTGCAAACTGCTGCACTAAATCTTGCTGACACATGGACGGGCTAAGCGATTTGCCTGCTGTTATGCGGGAAGTGGGTTTGGAAACCAGGTCTCTTAAGGTCCAGCCACTGCATGATCCTGCTTTGTATGTCTAGTCAGCATAATACTTGGCAGTAGCAGAGCATTTTGTGTTTTCATAGCCCAGTGCAAACATTCATTCTAGCTTCTAGGCAAACACGCCCAAGGCTTCCTTATGCAAATGTGGGAACACTAAAACCGTTTTCATAGCACCATCTTTGTCTGAATACAGGGTTAGAAGGAGTAAGCTGAGTTTTACTCTACTGTACAGGCAGTTTTCTGTGTTAAAATACCACCTGCTGCTCTTGGTTTTCTTGACGAGGAGAGAATTTTACTGGATGTGGATGTCACTGGTGTTTTGGCACAAAGGATCTGGTGAATGCTGGGAATGAGAAAGTCATGCGCACACAAATGCACATACATACACACATGTGTGCAAACACACTGACAAATTTTGCATTTTTATAGTTATCACTTCTCCTATATCCATTATTTTGATAACTAATAAGCCGTGGTTTACCTTCCCTGAATTTCTAGTATAAGACTTTGAATTTCTGTATTTGAAATCCAAATGCATTGGAAATTATATATCTCTAACACTTATCATTGGCCAAAACCCTGCTATTCAGAGCTGCATTTTTATTCTATACTCATTTCCTGTTTATTGTAATTCTGTTCACCCTCTTTTGCACTTCCCAAGCTCTGCAGAGCTCATTGAATGGGCAAAATGCTAGCAGCCTTGCCAGTAACCAAGCTCTGCTCTCCACCTTTCTCCAAGATTTTTTGAGTCGCACTGGCCTCTCGGGCATTATAAGCCTGGCAGCCTGAGCCTTTTGAAGAGGACACAGTGCAATGTCTGTCTTACCAACACTTGAGTTTAGACAGGATGGAAACGTCTGGGTTTAAATCCAGCCATTCAAGACCTGACGCCTTCCTGGCCTGATTTACAATGTGTAACCATATTCACTTCACTGAGGGATCCCCAAGTGGTTCGTGCCTAATAATACTCCAGTTTGCAGAACCACCATCCGCTTGCAAATACAAAAACTGAGATGCACAGACACTTGGTAATTAGACGTACCTTGCAAATTAGGTATGCCTGTAAAGGTGCACCTCCACAGTCCCAGAGTGTAGGCTCCTATCTAACAGCTTGGTTTGCAAATGGAATTTCTGCTGTTGTGATGGCCCCTCGGGATGTCTGAGTCTTCCCAATGGATGCCCGTGGATGAGGCCTGAAACTCTTTGCTCCCTAGAGGCATGCAGGGGAGGACCTCCAGCCCCGTGCCTTCATCCAAGAATTGCTCTTCCCCAGTAACTCCCACCCCATCCTCTGAATTAGCGTGTAGGCAGCGGCAGTCAGTGATGCTGTCCCCTCTGCTCCCTAACATGGCTTCACCTCCCCTGCCCCACTGGCAGCAAGTGACACGCAGCGCTGCAGGGCTTCTTAATTCCTTATGACCAGTTAAATAATCATCTTGGGAGGTGTCTTCCCAACTTCATCTTCACAGCTAGCCCAGCCACTGTGCTTCTGCATTTCCAGCCTGCTCTCTGCATTTCCCAGATTGCGGCGGCTCAGAAAAACAACGCAAAAATCCATGAATTTGAGGCACTGCCATTCCCACCCTGTTCTCTCTATCATATGATTCTTTTGAAGGATTCTTTAGTCCTTCCCATAGCAGTAGGGAGGATGCCTCTCTGCCACCCGGCCAGGCCATTTGGCACCTCTGGTGCCTGGTGGGTACTTCTCTGACTGCCAGAGCCGTCACGTCAGCTCTTTTCTCACGGGCAGAAGCGGGAGGAGCAGTTCTCACTGCCAGCGCTTGCACTAAGCCCGATCTGTGGAAAGCAAATGCAGTTTATTTTCCTAAAGAAGTCAGCCCAGAGCCTTTCAGAAGAGCATGAAACCCTGAGTTGAAAATCTGGCACTCAAAGCAAATCCAGCAAGCATGCTTACTTGTCTCCGTCCTGGCGTGTGCCACCCCTCCGGTGCTTTCCCCCCTTGGGCAGGTTCCTCTGACACCTCTTCCCCCCGGAGCGGTGTGATTGCTGGTGGATTTATGCCCCTGCCAGAGGAGGTCCCTTTCTACATATCTGCAGTGGCATTGCGCAAAGCTGCTTTACATCACAGGCTGAGGGAAGGGGGTGGGGGGCTGAAAAAGCTTCGCTCAGACCAGACAGGACTCGATGAAACCTGAGCACGGCTTAACACTGGCTGCATGGAAAGTTCTAGGGATGGACACACAACCTTTAACCAGGTCCCACAGGTCTGCAGAGCCCGCAGTTACACATTTACCATGACCGACACAGGCGTTTTACTACACAGAAGAACTGATTATGGGAGCTGAAAATAGCTCTGCTCATTTTGTGCCAGACTCAAAGAAATGCAGATTTCTTTGTTCCTCTATTTGTTGTACAGTTGCACCAGATTTTTTTTCTTTTCAGATAAATTGCCTTTAATCTCTACCTTGCATCTTGGGCACCCATCAGTGGGTGAGACATGTACACTACCGTAGACAGAAATGATAAAACTCTAATTTTTTACCCATTTTTCCCTCTTGACCTATCCAGAAGATGAAAAGTTTGCTTCTTCAAAACAAAATGTGTTGAAAAGGAAAGGATGAAAGCTAGATGGATTAGGTTGCCAGAGCCAAATCACTGAGATGTCAGCCCTCCCAGCCTCAGCATTCCAAGTACTATTTGGCAAAAGGGGATGGATTCAGACATCTTTTTGCTACTTTTGAAATGATCCTCCAGTTTGGCATGCCCCTTCTTTCTCTTTAAGCAAATAAACACTGAATCAAACCAGGGATGAGGCACTTGGGTTAGATACTCTCGCTCAGTGCCCCTGTTATAGTTAGTAATTAAAATCCCATGGCTCTAATGGGAGTACAGCTGCTTTAACACCCATGCCCTGATTTTAGAGGTCCAGTCAGGTGCGGTTTGCACTGCGGTGCCAGGTTACATGTTGGCTTCAAGGAGAGAGCAGAGAGAGGGGGATGTTTTCAGTGCACCTGGGCAGTCGGAGCTGGTGGAGTTGATGGTGGAGGCAGGAACAGCTGAGTCCTGCCTGCCCAAGTGCTGTGTGCCATGTGTCCAATGCCAAAGGGGTGGGAAATTTCTGTCTCTGCAGCCCTGCTTTTCATTTAAACAATCTGATTTCCTTAGCTGTAGTGAGGTCTGGAAGGGATTCTGAGCACAGGCCCGCATGAAATGCTATCATGCACACAAAGCTTAAACAAACAGCTTGAAATATTTAAGGTGTTTTGTCCTCTCACTGCCTGAGCATCTCAATTAAGGAAGTATCTGGCAAAAGAACAGTCCTTGAGCTTTTGTACCATCTCCTGGCAGCTGTAAAATGCATGCAGCCCAGCCACAGACCCAGGCAATGGGAGAAGTGGTTCCTCGATTAAAAATGCACTTTGCACAGCTAAATGCCAAGAGAATGAGCTAGGTTTCGGGTTGCTATCTCCCTTCTTTCCCCTCTGCCCTGGAGACTCCTTCCCGCAGATGGGCTGGGGCAAAAAGGTGGTCCCTTAGAGGCTGGTGGAGGGTGCAGGTGGGACGTGTGACAGCACGGCCCAAACCTGTGTCTCCTGCACGTTCACCCACACAGGTCCGTACAAGGCACTGGGCACCAGTGATGTGCACCAGTGGCCAGACTACGCTATGCCCATGAGCTATAGCTGGTCTGCTATGTCCTATGCAAAGGCTGAACACAGGGGAAACCAAACCCAGCCTGATACTCTCATTATCGAAGTCACAGAAACCAAGGCTGTTTCAGTGAAGGGCACTTTGTGTTCGGTAAAACTCTGAAAAGTACCCTTATGAAAAAGATTTATTGACTTTGGCTAATAAGCTACAAGCGATGTTAGTAACATATACAACAGCTGCCAGACTTCTGTGTTTACTGTGGGCAATAAACACTGGAAGGGGAAATCACATAACCTGTGATTTTTTTTCCTTAAATCATTATGCCTATATGCGTGTTTCACAAACACTGATCTAGCACTTGGAGAGTGTTGCTGTTTGGGTATCTCCTGCTTCCAGTTCCCCTGTGGTACACGACCAAGCCCTGCTGCAGCTCCTGGTGGTCTCCTTTTGCTATGGACACCAGTGCCAAGGCAGACATCCCTGGCCACAGGGGATGCTGCCCCTCAGAAGAGGGGGAGCAGGAGGCAGCTGAACAATAACTCCTGTGTGGTGCTCTGATGGCTCTGTCACATAAGAAAAGTTCAGTGTTCAGTTGAAATTTCTCAGGGTTTTCAGCCAGGTCAACCTTTGGGGCTTTTTTAGTGTTCATGCACTCAGTTCCATCTTTTTCTGTTGACAAAAATTTGTCAATATCTTTGGGGACCACAGGAGCCTGTCTTTTTTATATTTTTTATATTTTTTTTCTCCCAACTCAATCAGTAAAGTCAATTAACCAAAATTCCCAGCTTTCTCAAAAAAAAAAGTTTCACCAGAAATTGTTCAATGACCTGCTTTCAACATAGTGCTAGTCCTGCTTCAGACCACTGGGAATTTGGCTGGCCTCGGTAATGAGGGAGAACCTTTGATTTCAGCTTATTTTCGTACTCTGCTACAAAGCTCAGACACAAAACCTCCCTAATTTACCGGTCACTTAGGCTTAATTAATATTCCCCTATTAAGATGCATCACGCACTAGCGCACTTCTTAGATCTTTGTCTTTTATCTTCTTACATTTTCTACTAAAGGAGAAGCTTCTATATGGAGAACATAGACTGCTACACCTGGAATATATTTTGTCCTAGATGGACTTAATTACAGTTAGTTTCTGCTTTACTACTGAGACATTTTTAAGCAAGAGTGCACAATGATTATTCCAATTACTGTATGTGGACCCTTTTGTCGGGCTTTTTCTTTTTTTTGTTGGGTTGCCATGGTTTTAGGCACAAGCCTGTACTTAAAGATAGACCTTTGAGTTCAGAAAGAAGGACGTCTATCCTGTTCTTTGCCTCCAGTGTCCGAGATTTGGCTCCCCAAAGAGAGCTGTGCCAGAAAACCTGTGTCAGGCTAAAGCTGGGTAAAAAGCTTCCCAGCAACTAGGAACCGAAGAAGGTCAAAGCAAGGCTGTTCCTAAAGGCATCCCCTGTGCAAAGCAAGCCCAGGGCCCACAAGCTTTTCCTAACAAAGCTCACCCTGCAACAGCCACAGTAAAGGTACAAAGAAACACAGACCTCTCAAACCTGCTCTTCAGCGAAGATGTTCACGCTCCCTTTTTGCCCCGCTCTTCCCAATTTTGGAGGGGGACTCGGCTCCCCCTTTTATACCCGCTCTTGCATAAGAGGAGCCCTCCCTCCTCCCCCCCAGTGCCCTCATTTCTCTTCAAAACCTGCCTCTGTTTTTCCTGCTTGTTATTCATGGTCACTGCTGAGGGAGAGTGAAGAGGTGTGGAAAAACACTGGTGCTGTAGTTTCAGGTTCCCTCACAGCCCTGCTCCCCGTCTCCTTTGCTCTGTTGAGGACTCTATTGACAAGTGCTAACATGGAAGAGCTCCCCTGCCCTGTGAAAACTTCTCGGTGGTGTTGTTGCATGATGTTGATAGTGCTACTTCATGTAAATATTATCAAATAGGCTTTGGAAATTTTAACCCTGGCAAAGGAACATCTGGCAGCAAGTAATTCCTATTGAATGGGAAAATTATTCTGTCCAAGTGAGAATTTTGATTGATCAGCCAGGCGGCTGTTCTTTTGCTGAAGAACATTGCGTCTCCATATTGTTGAAAAGTGTTTTCATTGATCCAGATTGTTCTGGGAAAGGCTGTATAAAATTCAGCACTTTGTGTGGAGACAGTAGTAAATATTTTATTCTGTTTCGTTCAGTTTGTTTTCCACCCTTCCAGAATTTTCCTCTGAGATCTGAACTCAAAGGATCCAGATGTGCTTCTATGGCAATGGTCTTGTCTTCTGCAAGGTTATGGTGGGAGTCATGGAGGGATATAAATTACTCTGCTCACAGCCTCAGACCAAAGACCTTCATACGGGCCCTTTCTAGGTTGAGTTGGCATGTCTGACCCACATAAATTATGAATTAATATATGGCTAACTCAGGCATACTAGCACGTACATGGTCATACATCATTCATTGCTAAATTTGAGGATTTCTTTTTTTTAAGACTGAAAGTACCTTGAGTGACAAGTAGGCCACAAACAATTTGTTTGTACAACCTGTGGGTTGATGCTGGTAATAGTAAACCTCTACACCCTATTAACATCCATAACGTTCCCCCTCCCTTTTGCTTTGGTAAGGGAAGACAGCGTGGGGCTGGGTCTGGACAGGGCACACAATTTATGTATGAGGTGCCGCTGGTGCAATGGCTGCCCCAGGTGTGGCAGGCAGTAGTGATGGTGGGAGGACCACTGTTTGTGAGACAGCCAGGAAAAACTTTGCAGAGTGGCCAAGTGCCTAGAGACCAAGATGCTTCAGTTTGGAAGAGCAACCACTGGTATGGGGAGTATAAGAATGAAATGATGAAGGCTAACAGAATGTCCCGAGTCCCTGCTTTGTAACCATGCCAGAACCAGCGGGTTGCAATAAAATTATCAGGCAGGAAACGTAAATGAAAGGAAGGGCCCTTTCACGTAGATAAGCTGCAGGAGGCACCGCCACAGGATACTACAGAGACCGAAAGTCTTAGCTGGTACCAAAAAAGATTAAACAAAATCACAGAGTGTATGGCCATCAGAGGCTGCAGAACATGATGGTCCAGGTGCGATTGCTAACTTGGGAAATCCCTGGACAGCTGGCTGTCTGAATTTTAACTTGATCCATGTTACAGCTCTCACACTCCTCTCTAAGGGCTTGCCTTCAACTCTCAATAGAAATAGAGATGTCTGAGCTGAGGCCAGCTTATGCTGGCTCATCTTGCAGCACAGATTGGAAATATTCTTTCAGTAGAGCTATGCCAGTGCAATGTCACCTGCAGCAAACCCAACCCTCAGCCCCAGCATTGCTGGGCTCTGCTCCTGTGCACAGGGCATTTAGGAACCCGCTGCTATCTCTTCAAAGTCAATGTAAGCCCTGGGAAACATGAACGATTTTCAAAAACTGTGGGTAGGCTTTTAAGATTAGTTAGCCACTT